GTTATGAATAACATTTTCCTCAGGTGATATTGAACATAAAGTACCCTGCCACATAATCCTGTGTTTCACATTTAACTTATTGTATTTTACCCTGTTGCAAAACAGATGAAAGCTAGTAGGAAAAACATTGGTGAATTGTATCATCTTCAGCTTGATTTGTTCTCATTTGGCACTCATGCATGTGATTCATTCTTTACAGGAAACAAAGGGGGCCAGCGTACTTCCCTGCTGGCCTTTTTTCACAACATTGATTCTGAGCTGAGCTGATCCCTGAGGTTCAGAATTAACAGAGTCCTGGAAGTTGAATGTTCAGTAGCATATTAGAGCTCCATATCTGAAAAACTTTGACTGAGGTGTTTAAGGTTGTGTAATCCTCCCTTCAATTTAGCTGGCTGTGATTTATGCTCCCCACTTGTTGGCTAGTTGGCCCTGCGGTGGTGCGTGGCTTCATCCTCACACGCTGTCGTCATATGACACACGTCTGACCCGCAGACACAGACAACATACACAGTCAGACACATATACATCCACGCAAATATAAGCTACATACCAACACTTGTACATACACAGACCAGATGTGAGCTGCACTCCGTATCCACCCAGACAAACACAGAGCTCAAAGCTGCTGCTGGTAATCATAATGCAGTGTGATGGCAGTCTGTTATGAATCTGCAGCGGTCATATTTTTATGATCAGGTCCGTCTGGGGGCGGAATAATTATCTTAAATACTGAAAGAACCTCGATCACACATCAGTCTCTTGAAAATTAAAAGCAGGGCTGACATAGATAAGCTCTGTATCTAATTTGTGATTTTGGAATATGAACAATTTTGACAAAAACAAAGCATTTATATAATGAGCATACTAATGTAATGTCAAAAGGTCGTCACGGATGATGAAAATATGACTTCCTTTCTTAAATTAAATTGAAAAGATTGATAGTATAATTAGTTATTTAAAAAAGTAGTTATAAATAAAAAAAAAACTCTGTTATGTATTGCAGATGCAGTTTTGCAACTCCAATCACACACTTCATATTCATGTTGTCTTGATCCTTACTGAGGGCCTTTCTGACATACATCTGGTCCTGTTGCATCTGTTTAATCAGTTGGTTAGCTTTTGTGTTGTTTTGTTCTGCAGTCTTGCACAGCTTTTGCTTGTTAAATTCCTGTATAGCTGAGTTGTGATACACAAATATGAGTCTGGGCTGGATTTCCAAAAAGCATCTTGGCAGTAAGTCATGTATTTGTTCCACTGTAAATCGCTGGAGTGATTTGTGACGAATAGGTTTCACATTCTGTTTGACTGATTCAGGATCTGTAGTGACCCCAACCCAGGAGTTATGCAAGGTCATCTGAGAAGTCTCAGGAAGGCTGCCATGATGACACGAACAGCAGCACGGCCCCCTGGGAAAGGCTCTGCACTCGTCTCTGGTGTTCAGTGTCAGTGGAGTCTGAATGCTGCAAAACAACACACTGCAAAAGTGGCAACCTGAGCAGCCAAGTGCAGTTTGATGACCTAATCATAACCTCAATGCTTGAAAATGACAGCGCAGTAAAGTGCTGAATCAGTGATCCAAGGGCCTGATGCATACAATGATGTTGGCATCTGTGCTGAAGAAACTCCCCAGTGTGTGTGAACTTTAAAACATAGTGCAGCAGTGCAGAACATGTGCAGTACCAACACCAGCTATTTAGTAAATGAAATATCAAATTATAAAACTAAAGTCAACCGAAAAACAGAAACAGAAAAGTGCAGATAGACTGCCAGAGTTGCAAGGTCTTGGGGAGTCGGTCCTCTCTGAGGCATGATTGCGAAGCCACAAGCTGTGTGATAAAACTCCATCTTCTGCCAAGCCCCCAGAACATGCTATAAATCACGCTGGAGATGCTGGAAGAATTTACTTCCAGACACTGAGTCATAGAACTTAAGGAAGGAAAGAAAGCCATATTCCCTCTTGGTCCACTCCATTGCTTCCTCCAAAATAACAAAGCAACAGTCCTAAACTCTTTCACCTCTCCCTTTCAAGGAGAAAAACTGAAGGAAAAAAATGCTTCCATACACTGTTTTTACACTCAATGACACACTGGGAGTATACTGGATCTGGCGTTAGTTCAGGGGCTATCACAAAGTTCACACCGGGGTGCCGGCCAGAACACCAACTTAAGGCCTATTAACTTCCAGAGGGTCCAAATGAAGAGGCAGGTGATGGATAGTGCAGGTGTTTAATACTCTCTTTGCAGGCAATGAGGTCATGTGGTTTTTCTATATCAAAAGAACAATAACAAATACACAGATTAATAAAGAATAAAGCTCTCTAATAAACATAATAAAGGAGTACTGAAATTACTACATCTCCATTTGCCTCTAATTACCACTATCACAGCCCTGAAACACACTTCACTGACTTACTAGCATATAAACAACATCACATGGTAACATTTACGTAACACCCACTGTAAACATTACACTAACGAGTCGGAGCGATAACAATAACATAACACGTGACGATCAGAGGCAGGTGAGCTAAATACTACAACTAGCTTAAACAGTGATCACATGGCAAGTGTGAAAGCTACACATCAGAACAACAGAATGGCTGCAGCAATGTAAATACAGTACATCAACAATATATCCCGACATACTCACTTTCCATCCACGCACAGACCACTTGCAGTGACGTTAATTAACTGCTAATCCCTCACTCTGCCGTCTCACCGGAGCACACACCCAGCGGGGGGGCTGACCAACACTACATCTATGAAACATTACATTACACACTAAACATAATATGTCCCAACTTTGGGGACTTTTCTACAATGATGGAAATGCTTAATGTTTGCTTAAAATAGCCAAGACTTGTCAGGTGTTTCCAGATATTACTATCAGTATTTCTGTATCCTCAGCAGACTCGGCACTGGTGTGACCGCAAATCATCTGGTTAATGAAGAGTCACACGCAAGCTACCCCTCATAAGTTCTGATCAAAGCAGGGAACAGTGAGCTGTGGTCAAAGGGCAGGACTAAACATGTTTTGAATGGTGCCATGAGGGATTAGGTACTACACTCATTATAGTGTACCTATGGGGTTAAAGTTATTCAGTATATTACAGTGTATTACTAATGTTTACCCTGTACAATATTATTAGCTCTCTGTTTGCATTGGTTTATACACCTATCAGCCATAACATTATGAGCACTGAGTGGTGAAGTATCATGGCTCCTGTCAGTGGGTGGGATATATTAGGCAGAAAGTGAACATTTTGTCCTCAAAGTTGATGTGTTAGAAGCAGGAAAAATGGGAAGCATGATGATTTGAGCAACTTTGACAAGGGCCAAATTGTGATGGCTCTCCAAAACTGCAGCTCTTGTGGGGTGTTCCTGGTCTGCAGTGGTCAGTACCTATTAAAAGTGGCTCAAGGAAGAAAGAGCAGTGAGTGAACCGAGACAGGGTCATGGGTGGCCAAGGCTAACTGATGTACGTGGGGAGTGAAGGCTGGCCGATGTGGTCCGATCCAACAGATGAGCTACTGTAGCTCAAACTGCTCAAACAGTTAATGCTGGTTCTGATACAAAGGTGTCAGAACACGCAGTGCATCACAGTATGTTGGTATGGGGCTGCAGAACATTATGACCACCAGCGTTCCCAGGTCTCATAATGTTAAGGCTGATCGGTGTTAATAATGCAAATACAATTAGTGAAATTTAAATAGACTTAACACTCTTAACTTTTTTCTCAACTGAAAATTGTGGACAACTGCAAAAAATGGCAGACAAACACAGCACATCCA